CGCACGCGAAATTAACAGTGGCGACTGCAAGAACGGAAGAGAAAGGACGTCTCAGGAAACGTACACTGTTACCGTACATCCGCCTTCGGCGTACAGCAGGAGAGAGAGAGAGAGAGAGAGAGAGACCAATGACGTTGTCTTTTCGACGCATGGTTAGAGTACTAAGACTAAATGGAATCTAAATTAGGCACATGTGTACAGGAAAGAGAGTACGTTCTCACCCCCCCCCCACACCTCACCCCGCTGAGAATGCTTCAGTACCATCACTGCAGGTTAACGCTCGGTCGTAAACAATCTATGACGCACGCGAAATTACAGTGGCGACTGCAAGAACGGAAAAGAAAGACTCTCAAGGAAACTCACAACACGGTCAGTCGCTGCCAACACGCCCGATCTCGTCACACCAAGCAACACCCTGCGGCTATTGGCAAACGCCAGTGATAAACCAAACAGTAACATCGCCTACGTTTTGCAGGCGGACTAACCCGCCAAGCTACATCAATACATGCGTGGCTATATTCATTATATACTTACACGTGTAACTCTGTATAGGACCGATCTACACTGTCTGTAATGTTTTTCATATTTGGCAGCATGTGCAAGAGCAATCAGTTGGACACAAAATAATACGGACTCACGTGGCTACACATAAATATTTCCTGATAGATACATAGTACTAATCTATAATGCTGCAATATGCAATACGTTTCTCCACTCTCTGGAAGCACACACTTGCACTGCAATTATCACAATCTGGTCACAACCCATTAAATTGCTACCCACCCACCAGTGTATGAGTTTAAACGACCACATGTTAATAGTATCACACATATTTAACCCTCGAGACAAAAACACATTTCTAGCTCTCCAGGGAAAAACCTCACTCTGGTAGTCATCAAATCTTTGGAAAAGAACACACGTATGAACACCACGTAGCAAAAATGATCAATTGTAAAAGAGGTATGGATATGAGCCTAAAAACCGTAGGCCAAAAGACAAGGGATATACGACTTCGCTGGTCCAAATTTTACCAGCATATACACATTTTATACCAGTGTTGTGCCATAACATCACTCAGAGTAAATATACCTAGCATAGCTAGACCTCGAGGTAAACATGCACATGGCTGCGAAAAATACGCACATATATATAGACAAACGCACGCCCACACGCACGCACGCACACACACTCATTATGTGAGGGGGTGTATGTATATATAGATATATGTGCGTAGTTTTTGATAAACAAGGAACTTGCTTTAATGTTGAAAAGCCATGCAATAATTGATCAGGGAAGCTCAAGATGGCAAAAGAATCACCGCACTGTACGGCTAGTCAGGCGTTACACGGAAATACACACACGCTCACGCCAAATGATACGTACGGTGTCAAAGTAGGCCGAATTTCAAGGTGTTCATATCGGAAGTGTGTAAATAACGGTTCTCCATACACGTAGAGCTTAGGAGGGGACATACGCAAGACTGAACTGTCAAGGTAATACCGCAACGTACCGTGCACAATGTACACGGAGTACTCGCACTCTGTCTATCTCTGTGTGTGTCTCGCACTCTCTCTCTCTCTCTCTCTCTCTCTCTCGTTCGCGCTCACTCTCCCCCTCTCTGCCGCTCTCTCTCGCACTGTCTCGTCCGCCCCTTACTCTCTCCCACCCTCTCTGTCTCCTTATCTCTTTCTCTCACTCTCTATCCCTCTGCATGTCTCTCTGTCTCTGCATGTCCGTCTCTCTGAGCCCTCTCTCGCTTCCCCCTCTCTCTTTCTCTCTCTATCTATCTATCTATCTATATCAATCTATCTATCTATCTATCTATCTATCTATCTATCTCTATATATATATATGTATACATATATAAATATATATATACATACATATATATATATCCAGTGCAAAAATGCACATTTTAGCATTTGTTGTAGGTTGCTTGTGATTACTGTATTACACCTATGCGTGTCTCCCAAGCTCATTGATAACCAGTCATTCCCAAAAGAACAGAAGATATGCTAAACGTTAGACTGGGTGTAACTGTAACGCCAACTTTTCACTGGCGTGGAAAACACATACATCTGCCGGACACGCACATAACTTATTCTTTGCCATAGGATTGATCACTAAAAAATAATCACCTGATCATCATCCTACAATTACTCTTTTCGGAAACTATAGTACCATTAATGCTTTCCTCAGATGATCAATTTGGGATGCGTTAGGAAGGGGGGGGGATAGAGTCTCGTGAGGTACACATAATTTTTCATTCACACACAAACTATACATTCATTATCCGTTTGCGTATGTGTTCAATACCCTGCAGTAATAGGCAGATGGGAGCAATTGCACCATTCACTCTGTTTTCATGTAGTCACCCACACGCGTTCAGTGGCAATCACAATCCATCTGACTAACCTCCCGTGAAAGACTTTGGTCGAGCCCTTTGGGTACGGAGCAAGTTCTACTGGAGGCGGTTTTTGGCTTTAAACAGATTCAGATCCCAATGCAAAATACTCGACGCCGAAAGTTATACTGTAACCAAAATCGACACGTATATACAACAGAGCAAACTCGCTCCGCTTTCGCAGCGCGCCACACGATCTAAACCGCGCGATATGGAAACTGAGCAAACTGTGGTTGACGTGGCTGGTGGTGTGCGACACCACACTGTAGCGTCCGAGGGCGTGACACCGCTCGTCCACACTTCGATCGGCCCTCAAACCGAGACACCCGCACCGAGGTACCACGAAAAAGATCGGGTGTGAAACTGACCGAACGCTTCGCGATTTCGATAGGAAGTCGTTCGGCGTGCGGGCGGGCTGGCAAGACAAGCAGAGTTCACGCCACGAATCTTCTTCCCCGGCAAGCTCCTCGAACGCTCGAGATTCTGTACAAAGCGCCGCCACCGCCGGAGTCGTCCGCCGACCGACGTGGCCATAAATTATATATATATATACACACACACACATGCGCACACACACAACACTCGGCGCGCTGGCCCCACGATCGCCCGTGCGTCCGTCGACGACGGAACGTCTCCCCGACAGGTGGCGCCGCCGTCGCCGCCAGGGGGCGCGTCACTGCAACGCGGCGGCCGTCGGCGCGATCGTGCTGTTGTGGCGCGTCTTGCGCGACGAGCCGTCGTCGTTCTGCAGGCTCGGGTTCGCCGAATTCGACAGCGCCACCGTCTTGTCGAAGTCGATCATTGCATAGCCCTCGGCGGCCGCCGACGCTGACACGCGGCGGCTCGGCGAGTTCGGTTCCGAACACGACCCTGTCGCGACGGCCGCCGCGGGCGACGCTGCCACAGCCGCCGACGCCACCGCGGCGCTGCTCGTCGACCCGGGGCTCTCGTTCCGCGCCAGGTCGAGCACGATGTAGTTCACCTGTTTCGCGGGCGCCTGCCGCATCGCCGCGACGCCGGCGGCTGAGGCGCCCCCTGGAGGCGGGGGCGGCGGGAAGCCGGCGACGCCGACGGCGATGTTCGCGTAGCAGTGTTCTGCGTCGCGCTGCTGGTGGAAGCCGTTGCGGAACACGTCTGGCGTCACGTTGACGTACATCGGCGAGTCTCGCTCGTACACGAACACGTCGTCCGGCGTCGCCGCCGCCGCGTCGCTCGGCTCGGCCGACGCACGCCGCCGTGGCGTCGTCGCCGCCGACGCCGCCTCACTCTCCGACGCGCCGTTCACCGCCGAGCCGAGCTTCTCGCGCGCGTACCCGTTGCCGTGGCTACCCGTGCTCACCTGCGAGCCGGGCCGCGACGTCTGCGAGTCGGCGCGCTCCGTCGTCGTCGCCGCGGGCAACCCGACGAACACGGGCGGGGTGTTGACGTAGTCGTGCGCGTGCGGCGGCGATGACGCCGCGCTCTTCGGACTCGCCGGCGCCGCGTCGTCGTCGCCGTCGTTGACGTAGATCGCCTGGGCGGCGGCGGTGGCGGCGGCGGCGCGGCCCGCGGGATGCGTCCCCACAGCCGCTGCGTCGACGACGACGCCGCCGTTCGACTGCGGGTGCGAGGACGACGAGAGAGCGGGCGTCGCCGGCAGCTCGGAGTCGGACGCCGGGCGGCTGGTGGTGGCGCTGCGCAGGATCGTCGGGCCGCTACCGTCCGGGGGGTCGCCCGGCGTGTGGCCGGCGCTCTGCACGCACTCCTGCAGCACGTTGAACAGCTGCTCGGCCCGCCGGCACTTGAACGCGTAGACTCCCTCGCCGGTGTGGCACCTGCGCGAGAACGAGACGCATATATGAGTGGGAGAAGTGATGGATTACCTGTTGTCCTGCTGTTGCTAAACTCTGCAGGTTTCTTGTGGTGGGAGGGGGGGGGGGTAGGTCTGCTAGCGTACATTAGTGGGAGAAGTGTAAGTCTAGCTGTTGTCCTGCTGTTACTAAACTCTGCAGGTTTCTTGGGGGGGGGGTCTACTAGCGTACATGAGTGGGAGAAGTGTTAGTCTAGCTGTTGTCCTGCAGTTACTAAACTCTGCAGGTTTCTTGGGGTGGGGGAGGCCTGCTAGCGTACATGAGTGGGAGAAGTAGAGGGGAAAGGAAAGATGATGGAAGAGGTGTATTAGGTGGAGAGTGAAAGGGAAAGGAGGGTTAGGTGGAGGAGGTAAAAGGGAAAAGGTAGAACAGAGGGAGGTAGAGGGCGCACATGAGAAAATGTAGAGGGTGAAAATGGAAGAGACACAGGATGTGATAAAGGTGAAGGAAGTAAAGAAGGTAGACGGGAAATGTTAAAGAAGGGTGAAAGAGATGAATGAAATAGAGAGCGAGCGAGATAAAGAAAGAGAAAGATAGAGCAAGATAGATAAATAGAGAGAGAGAGAGAGATAGAGAGAGAGAGATAGATAGAGAGCGAGCAAGATAGAGAAAGTGTGTGTGTGTGAGAGAGTGTGTGTGTGAGAGAGAGAGAGAGAGAGAGAGAGAGAGAGAGAGAGAGAGTGAGAGATAGAGAGACACACAGAGAGATCGTCACCTTCGTCCGCACTCGAACGAGAAGAGCTCGGCGTCGAAGCCGTATCGTCGCAGACACTTGAGCGGCCAGAGAATGGGCTCCTTGCCGCGCGGGTAGAAGATCAGCTCAGCGTCGGTGATGTGCATCTTGCCCGGACTGAACGTCTCGCCCTCCTCCCCGACATTGTACACGGTGAACACGCGCGGATGTATGTCGTTGATGTCCTCCTTGGAGCTTACGCAACCCATTTTCGCGCTCACTCAGTCATCTAGAGACAGAGATAGAGAGAGAGAGAGTGAGAGAAAGAAAACAGCGGGGCTGCTGTTAGTCTAATTAGGGACACGGCTGCAATTTAGGCTGTTACGCTCGCGTGAGAGAGCGGCGGGTAAACAACACGGTAGTTAGATGCACGCGAATTGTTAGACATATGCAAGGATCGCTCGCGTGTCTGTTACTGCAAGGGCGCACAATCAGGGGGTTCGTAATGTATAGACCATTATCTAATGCCTGCTATATATATACATATATATATAAATATAATATAAAATATATAAAATATCAGGAGTGAATAATAATAGATCTAATAATAATCTAATCTATTATTATTCACTCCTGATAAAATATATATATATATATATATATATATATATATATAAATAAATATATATATATACCAGGATATACATATATATGTTTATAGTCTCACCGCTGCGTTGGCCTGCTATACATGCCGGTGAGCTCTATACAGATTTCAATGTGAAGTTCAGCATGGAATGATAAACCCAGCGGAAGTGACACTCAGTACACGTAACAAACTTAAGAAACAGCCATTAAGCTATCAAAAATGCGCAGTTTCGATGTCTGCTAGACAAACCTAACCGACGAAAAATCGGCCAAGCAATTACTGAAAAAACGGTTGGAATTTTCATTATTTTCATGTATTTAATTGTTACGTTACGCGTTTTACTTCTTGTCGATTTATTTCGGCCATTGTCATTTTGCATCACGAATGTGCCATTCAACATGTTTCTGGATGATTTAATTATTGTACACTAACGGATACTATATCCCTTGATACGTGTGAGCCCACCGATAAGTTCAAACTACGCGAATGCAAACACCATATACACATTTATCCCTTGTTAGACACTTAAATTGTCACAAAACCCTTTCCCGCGGGAATTCTCGCAGATAGGATTCAACATTACGTACATTTGTAGCACTGGCGGACCCCAGGTGCGCGCGTGCACGCGGGCAGACAACATATCGACGCTTAGTCTATAATCTGGAGGTCAACATGGCGATACGTGCAAGCAAATAGAGCGCAGCTCCCGCGCGAAGGGAATCGAATTCGCGCAAACCCCGCTTGGCACGGGCATGATCAGCTTCTGTCTCTGCTATGACGTCAATGCACAACAAAGTCATCCGGGAGTGCTATATATAGCACGCCTACATAATATAATGGATCTTCTGCATGCGACAAACACACTCGTCAGGTGTTACGCGCTGACAAGCTCGCAGCGTGCGGGAGGATGCGTGCCCCCACCCCTCCCCTTCCCATCACCTCCCCTCGCTACGACAGCAAGACGACTCTGACGTACGCGCACAGCCGCCAGCGTGATCCTACGTGCGCCTTTCCACGGTGGAACACTGTCCCTATGTAACCTCTATGTGCGGTTACTTAGGTGTGGTAGGTGAGGTAGGTTAGATAAACAGAGTACAGGATGCGCTGAGACATAAAGCGAACAACAACTAGCGAAGTAACGTACCACAAGCGACTGTATTGTTAGCCATTACAAGGTGAATACAACACGTAGCGTACAAATGCAACTGTGACAGATAACGACACGGGGATAGAGAGAGTTGAGTTCCCCGTGTCTGAGTGCCGCTCGCCTTATATACACCGGCGATTCCTGTGCCCGTCATCCGGACATTATCCTGTCACCTCTTGGGCTGTCCAGGTTCCTATTCTGCCGACCCCCGGCTTGCGAGGGCCGCATCTCATAATGTCGCGTGTCACGTACCCCGCTCTCTGCTCTCTGACTCTAGTCACCGTTCGACACTAATGCCGCTTTCATACTGCGAACGACTTTAGCCCGCTTCTGAAGCGGGATAACTTTAGCTCGGGATAAGTCGTTT